TTGTTACTGACTGATTGTTTGATTCTAAACGTCTCCATTTGGGAATGGCTGTAATAAACGGACAACTCTATTGTTTTCTGAGATTTGTTCAGTTTATAAGCGTACAGACCATAAATTACCTACAATTAAGGGTCCTGACTACTTAGCTCACTGGAAAAAATCGTTCACTTTAAAAGGTTGTAAATTTGATGTAAATATTGTGTAAGTGTCCAAAATGATGTAGATTTGATGTAAATTTGATGCTTAAATTTGATGTAAATTTAAATCAAATTTACATCATTTTGGACACTTACATAATATTTACATCAAATTTACAACCTTTAAAGTGCGCGATTTTTTCCAGTGTAGAGGACTGTTCGTATTACTGTGAAACGAACRTTGACGTGCTGTGACCTTGTCGTAATATATATATTGAACAACATTCGGAAAAGCTGCCGTGTTTTGTCAAGCGAAAAACTCTCTATAATTTTCGTTTGTGCTGACTGCCATCTTGTTTGCACTGTATCGTTGTTATTTTTACCACAAAAAATGGTGTCAAAAACGTCACCTCAGCTATTCTAAAATGTCTCAGGAAAACTAACAAAATTGCAATCAAAATTGAGCGAAATAAAATAAAATATTAAATTAAACATTAATTAAAATAAATTAAATATTACACTCGTATGTAAACAAACAATATATACAACAGAAGAGAATTTATGACCTTCAACTATCCACTTAATATACGACCAACAGTAAACTTACGACAAAAAAAGCGAAAAATCTGGATAGTACATATCGATAACTGCTACGCACTGTATTACGCCATGTCCTCTTAATTGGACTGGGCACGTTAAGTTCCACGTAGTGGTTCTCATCGAAGAATAAGAATACAAACAATTGCGAAAACGTTTTTCTCAATGACTCTCATGACTCTAATTATTGAAGATATACCAATTTTAACAAAAATCCAACTCAAAATCCAACTCGAGATCCAACTCGAGATCCAACTCGAGATCCAACTCGAGATCCAACTCGAGATCCAACTCGAGATCCAACTCGAAATCCAACTCGAGATCCTAACTCGGGGTTTAGTTTATCTCGAGAAAACCTTTTCAAAGATTTATATGATTTAGAGAATCAAGAACCTATATTCTTAACCAATAGAAAAATTAAAAACCCAATTCAATTTGTATTCACTATCCGATCTCCAACGATGCTATACCAAACCATTTCTCAAAACATCCATTAGGGATATCTCTCGTGGTTATAAAAGCCAATTCCACAAAACAATTTCCTTGAAGAAGCTCAATCAGTTTTTTCGAGTAAGCATTCGCRCCGGTTGGACATGCAATGATGATAGTTTGACATGATGACTTCCAAGAGCCTGGTAACTCTTCTAACAATGCCTTCAGTAATTGTTGTGCTGCCCCGATAGAATCTGCAAACAGCGGCCCAAGTCGATAGCAATTGTCCTCTTTATACACCTCCCTCGCAGCGACGTATCCGGCAATTGCTCCTTTATTATTGACAATGACTTTTGCATGACTTCCTTTGACGTGGAGCMTTTTCCATATGAAGTTATGTCGCTCATAGCCAAACACAGCCGTATCATAGYTGAGCARCGCTTGCTTGTCAACCTCATTGACTTCTTTTATCGTAAAATCCTGAATTGGAGCCAGCTGTTTCAGACTTTCCAAAGCAGTGGRAATATTAACYKTGTACCAGCCGCACATCCATCGGGTCTGAAATCCGCTTTTCTCGTAGATTTTTATCATRTCTGGCACGGAATATGCGGAGACATTTTGAGTTGACCAATCGATGTCTTGGCTAGCTCTTCTAAACATCTGAAACCCGTAMCCCTTTCCTCTGAATTTCTCTTTGATAACATACATCCCAAATGTGTAATAACTGCTACTGATCTTATTAAAAGACACGAAACCGATGGGTTCGTCATTCAACTCGGCTACATAAATACCAGGATGATCACTAGCCAAGTAACTCTCAATGTCTTCTAGTCCCGGGTACCATTTTAAMAAGGCTAATTCTTCTGTAATGAAGTTGACCATTGAARTATCGGCCGTGGTAATCTTATGAACATTTAGCGTATTCATATTGAGATGGCTGAGTTATCGAAGGTTCCTGAAGAGGCGTAATCGCATGAGTGTCTGCCAGTAAAATCACACGACGTTTACTTTTTTTATAAGAAGTAATATGTAAATGTGTCACGCAACTGGTAAATCGTGCATACGTTACGCAAATTGATTTGATACAAAAGCGAAGCCATTCAAAACTGTCTTGCAGTACAAATTAGTACTACTTAGATTTTATACAGTTGGACGGTCTAAGTGCGATCACTCTAATTAGTTTGTTTTTATTTCATGGCTCATGTC